AGAACCTTCCCTGGGAGGTCCCCTCACCACGTACAGGAATCCACGTCGAGGGGGATACAAAATGACTTGAATTAATTGGTTAGTTTGGCAAATGACCTTTACTTATAACAGGTGCAAGATGATTTATATGGGTTACCATGTTTTCAATCACTTTTAATACAGGTTGGAAATGTGAGCCCACTCAAAAGTGATCAGAAAAAAAAAGGATCTTGGCATAGTGCTGGATAAGTCATTCAAGCTACTGAGGCAGCATTCTGTTTCTAGTATCAAAGCTAATAAAATTTTAGAGGGTATTTATAGACATAATGGTTACAAATCAAAAAGGTAATTATCTTTTTATACAAAATAAATGGTTAGGTCTCACTAGTAATACTGTATACAGTTCTTTTCTCCCTATCTTAGAAAGAATCTTACAGGATTAGATTAAGATCATATTTTCTCTTGAAAAAAGAAGGGTAGGGAGTAAACTCAAAAAAGTTAATATGGAATGTTGGAATATTCCCAAGGAAAAAGAGGTATCTATACTTGAGTTTCCACCTAAGTCAGACAGAAAACAGCAAACAACCTGGACAAATTTCATATCAAGAACTTGTGATAAATGGAGTTTGACTGAAAGCTGACATGTATGAAGTGAACACTTTTTGGAATCAGGCTTTGAAAATAAACTACAATTTGATATGGGATTTGTATAAAAACTGGTGCTAAAGAAAGATGCAATGGCCAGTATGTATCAGAATTTCGAGGGAGATCCATCAAGTATGGCGAGCAGCAGCCAGGTTCATTCCAGTGGCACATCATGCTCTTGTTCACAGACCGATAACAGCTAGGAAAGTCGTGTCCAATCAGTTGTTCGAAAACAAGAGGCATACAGGGTAAGCTCAAGTTTTAGCAAATGTTATAAGCGCAATATAGAATTGTCAGTAATCATTCAGGTTTAATAAACACACCAGTAGATCTGCTAAAACAAAATATGGCATGTACAAACAACTGTCAGTTTTATTTATTTTTCATGTTTATAACACTTTTTTATGAAATTTCATTGGCAGTTTCAATATGCAACATAAAAAAATGCTAGATCTACAATACTGATTATCAAAATATGACCCCAGCTATGTTTGTTTTTCCAATCCTAAAGTATACTTAGTCATATGCATACAAATTGGAGCATGCGCAGAATACAGTATCGTGAGTCCATCAGCTGATAATAGATCTAAATCTAGATATAGATCCATCACTTGAAAAAACGAATATTGACTAGAATTTACTCAAAGATTTACTATATTATCACCCATGTGACTATACTGATGGCTGTAACTTTTCTGCCATTTTCATGACATTGTAGCATACAACTTTTGAAACAATTCTATACCAAGAAAGATCAGACAAACTGCCAGTTCTCGTCCATTTCAGCCGATACGTCAACATTAGACATGTTATTGTCTGCAAGCTCTGGTTCAAACATATATGGTGCAATTAACACATTATATCTATCTTCCTCTTCATCCGCTCTCGCCATGTTTTTACCTTGTATGGCATAGGTTTGCCTGCCCGGTTTACCGTGTGGCACTTCTGCTAGTTTTTCTTAAAGCTAGCCAACTGTGACCAAATATGGCTTGGAACCACATGAGCTTGATTGTTTCGTGACTTTTTTTAATTGTATTATTTTTAGTGCAATACGATATACACATTCAAGCACAAAAAATGCCCTACTGTCTGTGGTCTTTAAATAACTTATGAGCCTCTCAATTAGCAAATTTCACGAATAACCCAGCTCTACTGGTATTCTTGTTTATTGTTTATCCTCGGCTTAGCATGCTTGTGAATAGTTAAAAAAGGCAGCTAGTACAAAAGGAATACTGTTATTTGTGATGTTTAAACCCAATGTTACAGATTTATAATGACAATTTTCCTTCCATTTCAAAAATAAACTTAATTTAAAAGTATCTCTTCAGGATTAGGAATTTTACACTTAAAAATTGAAGGCTTTCTGTCATTGGGAATGGGGCTGATATTCAAAGATAAAATGCATGCAGTGGGAAAACAAAGTTCAGTAATGAAAACAAACATAGCAGTTAGGATAAAATAAAAGCTCAGGAAAAAAGATGCTTTTTATCCAAACCACCATCCCTGTCTTCATTACTAAATGATTGTTTTTAGGAAATATGTATATACTTAAACCAGGCTGTTCACACTGGAAAACAGTATCATGTCTAATGAGTTTCCAAATATACCATCTTGAACAACTTTAGTGGCACAGTGGTTTGTCAATATGAGCTCTTTTTTTTTACTTAGATATCTTAACATAAAACTTACTAATAAACCTTTTTGCTTGTAAAGTTAACCTTATAAACCAGTTTTCAAAATGTTTATATGAATAAAAAATTATTTTATAAAATGTATGCTAGTATTTAACTCAGTGAGATAATGTTGTAATTAGGCTATATATCTGATGTACAGTAATGGAGAGGATGAAACTTAATATTATAAAGTTCATTTTTCAAAAGAAATATTAATAAAAAATGTTTACAAACAAGTTCCATGTTATGTTACATTGAAACAAAAACAAAGATGGTTTTCCATTCCTCACAAGCACAAGTGTGGAATGCTTGTGTAATAATTGCTAGATGTATCTGATGTACAGTAAAGTATATATAATGTAACTTAATATATGTAAGTTCCATTTTAAAAATAAATCTCTATAAAACAAAAAGTTTACAAGTTTTATGATAAGTTATACTGGAGAGAGAAAATAAAGATGGATTTTACTTCCACAGAAGCACAAATGTGGAATGTTTTTTTATAATCATCAAAGTTTTAGTGTATTGATCTTCATTCCAAGTATTAATGTAACACATTTGGCAAGTAACTCTACAACTGGTGTGAATATTTATATTTTAATTCTTTATGTTTATGCATACATCTCAGGCATCAAAAAGCAAGTTTTAAAATATTCAATTTCTAACATCACTATTACCTATATGCTTTAATTAGTGATCATTATGGTCAGTATTAATAATTGTTGAATGTGATGACACATTTTTGCCAATTTAGTGCCAAGCTGGTGATTTATGCTAAATCCCAAAATTCAAGTGTAAAATTCTTTAAAATCCTAGTTAATTTCTACAATAGTTGTGTAGCCATCATCAATTCCCTTGTAGCACAGACAAAACTACACTTGTAACTTCAGAAACTTGCTTGGACTCATCAGTGACATGAATAGCCCTAGCAATATCAGTTGACCAATAAGCTTTCTCTACCTAGCTTTATCAAGTATAAGTAGCTGATTACAATGAAACAGTATTACAAAAAACTTAAAATCTCCAAATACAGTTTGTGCCACTTTTAAATAGCTGTAGCAGGCAGTAGTTGACAAATGGCTTTTAACAAAAATCTATCACACCAAAGCATTTCTAACTTTTTCTTTAACAAGTATAACTCCAAGCAAGCCAAGAAAAGAATCACATCTACAGAAGTGGTTATTAAGAAGTCTTGTAAAGACAACCATCATATTTATGTCAGATGGTTCAAAATATACATCCATAGTTGGAATTATAATGTATTTTTAGGCTACTTCTGCACAACATTCAAGTCAAAATATTCTTGATAAGATCATCTAGCAATGGCTTTTTCTTTTTGCATATCAGTTACTCTGATTCCGGAATCGGTTATTGTAACTAATTCAGTTACAGACATATATTACCTAAAGCCCAGCATTACCATATGAATGATTTTAAGAATTGTAAGAAATAATCAGTAACACATCACTTATAATAAATGACTTCTTAATATGACAATTTATTTAACACATGTCTGAGTCACACAGAACATCTTCATAAAGTTCTGTAAATGAAACAACCATACGATAATGTCCTCAATTATTTAATTCTTAAATCAAATGTTATCATAGTTTACCACATGAAAACACACCTGAGCTCCAGACATAGCTATAAAGATTTCAAAATTGTTCAAAATATTTTAAACATATAGAAAATTGATAAAAAATAAACATGTGGAGGAGAAAAGTAGAGATATACATCTCCACATTTACATAATTAAGTTGTACAGCTACTTGGCATGAATTTAATTACAGTATTACTTACTAACACTATGTTTTGTTTACAAACTCATATTGGCTATAACAGTAAAAATTAAATTTTACTTTGAAAGTTTAATATTTTCATATTTTACCATTTCATGGTTAAAGATGATTTTTAAATTGCTTTGTTTGAATTTATAAAATTCTTAAATTTGTTATTTACTTAGAATATTTATGCTGCTAAATCAAAACTAGTTGTGAATTTATGTACTATTTATACTATAGTTAGGCCCACTAACAGTAACTGAGTAACAGTTTGTAGGTGAGTCTACTAACGTTACTCGTAGGCCTAGCTGTTAGTATTGAGTAGGTTACTAGCAGCAACAGCTTACTTAAACAAAAGCAGACTTTAAATTTGCTAATACTTGGTTTGATTAGGCAGAGTAAATAACACTAACAATTACAAATACTGTATTGTTAATAATTCATTGTTTATAACGTTACTGTTACTAAGTGTTAGTACTGGTGTCACAGTTAGTAGCGAGTTTCTAACGCCGTTAGTAACGGTGTTAGTGTTGCGTATAAATTTTAATTCACTTGACTGTATTGATAGTTTTAAAATATTTCCTTACCAAACAATACAGTACGTTTAATTTTCCTCAGAATGATGCTAGAAGTTTCTAAACAATTAGAAAAAGTTCTTGATAATATAATATCAACGATTCTTTACAACTTTTCAATTCTTCATTTTGGACAATGAGAATGAAATAACAAGAGACGGCGCCGTCTATAACCAAAGTGCCATCTATACTAAACAAAATACTAGTTTATTGTCAAACTTGGTATACTATCTTGGTTCAACTGCATCTCAATGCTAACAGTACAGTTTATTTATCATATCTTAAAATTTTTCTATGATCGTATTATCCTGAAATCTAACACTTTACTAACAACATAAATCTTATATTTCTAAAATTTACATATTTCTTCAAATATCTGTTTGCCCTGTATTAATGTCAAAAATGTATATTATGTTTCCAAATACCAAGATGCTTTTAAGATTTAAACCGAATGCTGGGTCCTGGCATGGCCAGGTGGTTAGGGCTCTCGTATCGCAATCTGCGGTTTCAAATCCCCGTCCCACCAAACATGCTCGCCCTTTCAGCCGTGAGTGCGTTATATGTGACGGTTAATCCCACTATTCGTTAGTAAAAGAGTAGCCCAAGAGTTGGCGGTGGGTGGTGATGACTAGCTGCCTTCCCTCTAGTCTTTTACTACTACTAAATTGGGGACGGCTAACGCAGATAGCCCTCGTAAAGCTTTATGCGAGATTCATAACAAACCAAATGGAACGCTAGATCGATTTTTATAGGTAAGAGACCCATAGGAGGTCACATACATTTATGGGATCCAAAACCTAGTATGTCTCAAATTATTTATATAAATCAGATAAGCCACAATTTGTTAAGATTTGAATTTGTCAATTTGTTTATTTGTTGAACTTCACGTAAAGCTACTCGAGGGCAATCTGCGCAAGCTGTCTCCAATATAGAAGTGATAGATTACACGGAAGGAAGCTATTCAACATCGGCCACCGTCAATTTTTGGCCTATTCTTTTACTAACGAAAAATGGCTGGAAGATTAAAGTATGTTCGGTGACAGGATTCGAGTCCTCGACCCACAGTCGAGCGCCTTAATCATCAGGCCATGCTAGGCCAAGCTTATCAGTTTAGTGACCATTAACCCAATTGTAAATTGTTGGGCAAATTGGTTTAACGATTTTATCTCTTTATCCCTTTTTATTTATTTCTTATATATTTAAGAACACAATCTTAAGTTTTTTGATAATATGAAAACAATTTATTCCCTAATTTATGATTAAGCATGAACATCCCTAATTTAGAGCAGCTGACAAAACAAAGCAACAAGTAAGGACCACCTGCCGCTTATGCAGCTGCTCGATCTGACCCAGATAGCAGAATCAAGTATCACTTTACAATGCACTTGCACTTGAATGTGTGGAGCATATTCAGTGAGATACCACGGGTTTGAATCGTGGACATTCCGATACGCAACGTGCAGCCCATAACGCCAACCACTAGGCTTCATCTAGCCTACTTATGAAGTACTCAATATTTAAAATTGTATTTGCTAAAATTTTCAAGGTATTCTCTTGTGATATGTCACTTTTTTGACACGTAACTACAAAAAAGCTAGTAAGGTTGAATCAATAAAAAAGTCGTAAATACAACTTTCACTTGAAGTACATATTTATCAAACTAATTCAAAGAGTTAACAATGCATTAACTAAATTAAAAATCTTGATGCATTGAAACTATGGCCCACTGATAGAAATTTACCCATATCTCAATTTTACATCTTTTAACTTTACCCTTTTTCCTTAGTGAAATACAAACAAACCCAAACATACGACCAACGTAAACATACTTCTTTATTTGGGATGGAGCGTAATATTAAACATAGTAGAAATGTACCGTATTTTTCGGTTTATAAGACACACTTTTTTCCCAAAAAATTTAATGTCAAAATCTGCTTGCGTCCTACACACCGAAGGTATTGCTACGACAGCGGAAGTCACGTGACGCTGGTAACACGTCATGAGATTTTCAAGGATCTT